GAGCAGGAGGATCGAAGACTGTGGGGAAGCAAGTATTCCAACCTGAAATGTCAAAGATGGGCAGTTCCAGAAGATGCTAACAACCAGAAAGGAGCCGTGACAGCGAGTGGGTGAAGAAGTGGAGATCTACACACTGCCGCTATTGAGAGGCCACGCTGTCGGGGGGTTCATTGTCAGGAATGGTAAAACCTACCTTGGCAGATCTGGGTAAAAAGGAAAACGACGAGTCAGGTGCTAAGGTCACTAATGAGTCTGCACCATCCTCAGGAGCTGACAAGGACAGGAAAGAGGAGAACAGTTAGACTATATGAATCTCCAAAGAGAGGGGAGTTTTAAAACAAGGCTGGAAGAATGAAGCTTTGAACCAGACGCAGGGAATGAAGAGAATGGCAACCCCATGTCTTAACCCAGAGACGGATGGAGCAGGGAAGAATGAGTCCAAGGAGAGCAGTGTCCTGGGAAAACAGCCAGGCCGGCAGCGGAGGAGAGAACATCAACAAAAAGACGTTGAGGTTGGAGAGATGCTTGTTTACCTTGGAACCTTTGCAAAGTACGTTTTGGGAAGGAAGGGAATAGCAGGAGGTTGAGGGAGGGGTGTTAACATCACAGAGGAACATGGGGAAGAGACGGGTAGGGAGGCTCCCAACCTGGGCGGTGACCAAGGACAGCAGGGATGCGGGCAATGCTGGCTGCAAGACGTCTCTAAGCAGCCCCAGCAATCCCTCGTGGACAGGAGAGAGGCACACTTCAGGAGCCATCAGCCATGGTCTGGACTGACCGACCTCCAAGAGACTCCTGGTCCAAGTGAACAAGCTGGAAACGGAATCATTTGGTTCCCAGGACCACTGCCGCATGCTAACCCCTCTCTCCTTGGGAAAGTTTCTGAAACTCCCTGAACTCCACTCTGTATGTATGTAAAATGAGGGTAGTATCCATCTCACAGTGTTGCTGTGAGGAATACCCATGAAATCATGTATATGAGGCACTCGGCTTAGAATGAAACCATCATGCACCCATTTTCTTATACCCAGCATCAACAGAATGCTTCACAGAATACATTATCTTAAGAGAAAGAAGTCTAGCCTTTAGTCAAACAAGGGACAGATGATGGAACCACCCCACCCCCCCCCGACTCCTAGCCTTAGTCCTATAAGTAGGACAATAATTGGGACCGTGGGTTACTGTTCACACTTCCAGAAGGAAAAGGAAGCTACTGCATCTCAGTAAGAAAGGCTTTCCGGCACATGCTGGCCTGGTGTGAATGTGGGTGGCACGACTCGGTCTCCCACTGGCCCCGTCTTTGCAGATTAAGACCAGAGAGCCTGTCCTTGGCCTCCAAGCAACACGCAGTTGCCTCGTGAATGAACGCGGAGTGTCTCCCTGAACCAGGCTGTTAGCTGGCCTGGGGGCCTCACATTACAAACCGGAAGCCTCTAAGTTAAAGCCCGCCGCAATTTTTCCATGGGTGGGGGGGGGGGTTCACAAATTTGTAAAGAAGTTGCCAATAGCTTAAAAATTGGAAGATTTTACCAAAAGCTCAATGCCAACTCTTCTTGAAAAAGCAGATTCCCACAGAGCATCAGTCCATTGGAGCAGAATGGCATCTGCCCCCACCTGGGGGTCTTGGGGGGGTACTTCAGGGGTGGGTACAATTAATTCACTTTCTGCCTGCCTTGCTCAGGTAGAGGTTATCGATACGAACATCATGTCAAGAACTAATAATATACGATTTAAAAGTCACATGTGACTGGTGCTGTAAAAAGTAGTTAATGATCTGGGGGAAAATTCAGTTAAGACACTTACCTCACAGCTTGTGTGCATGCGCACGCACACACGTAAAATTATGGCTGGATTAGATGCAAAAACTGAAAACATAATGTGGTAAAACTAGGGGTGATTCTTATTTCATTCTTGTGTTTTACTGCATATTCTATAATATGTTGAATTTTCTACAACACATACAAATTTGTAAATGTATTTAGAATTTTTAAAAAGATGAATTAGAATGAACATTTCAGAAGTTCTGCAATAGTAATATTTATTCACAAGTATAAAGAATGGCTACACAGCAGAAATGGCAGCAATATGCCGAGACTATTCGAAGAATACTCTATGAATTTCAAATTATTTGACCCATTTAAAGACATTTCTCTCATCTTTATCTGAATTCTGGGCTAAAGGATTCAAAGGAATGACATACCCTTAGGATTTTTTTTATAGAATGTACAATGTATAGTATTTCCTAGCTCTTGAAATGACTAGATAAATGGATGGTATCCCTGTGGGAAGGACAAAGAGAGGTAAGAAATAGGGAAATAACAAGGTTTAACAATATGGTCCCAACATTTGTAGCAAATTTGGGTCACAAATGTAAAGATGAGAGGCTCCATTTTCTCAAGGAAGAACCGGGTCCCTGGAAAATGCGAAGTATCACCTTCTACAACATAACTGGGTTCTCCACACCATTTCAATACCATACCTGGGTTTTGTAAGCATGTTTCCTTTAAACGAGGAAAATGCCCTCCCTTTTAATCCAAATAAGGATTTGAAAAAATTTTTGAAAGCCAGTTAAATCCAGAGTCAGAACCAGTAAAGACTAAATTAACATTGAGTGCAGAGATTCTTAACAAAGAGGTTATTTGGAAGGGGGCAGGAAGGAGGGGAAGACACGGGGAGATAAAAATCACCTGTGGAGTTTCTTCAACCAACAGGTTTCCCTTCTCCCGGAGGGGGTCCCCTTCAGACTGTCCCACCTTCACAGCAGGAATACCCTCTTGCCGAGTCAGTGCTGAGATATAGATAAGAATGTTGTCTTATCTTGGAGGCGTTCGGACAGCATGTCCTCACTCAACACCTCCAACTTCTATCCCCATTTTGTACGTAGGGAAAAGAAGACTCTGCACCAATCATCAGGTGTAGCAACTGGCTATGCCCAAGCCCCCTCTAGGCAGTCATGCTCACAAAGAGACACATTTGATCCTCCATGACTCCACTCCAATCACCACTCAACACACTAGGAGGTGACCGTCCAACCCAAGGGTGGCCAATCCATAGGTGCAACCTCTGCCAGGGCCCAGCATAAAAAGATAAGCTAGGCCACATCTTGCTCCTGAGAATGTGTGATTAGAAACACAAGACAAAGCAGCAGTAAGCAATGGAAATAGGGTGGAAAAAACAGAAGTTGAGATGAGAGGTCAGGGCAAAGTGAGTTTATGAAGATGGGGACACTAAGAGTAAGCAAAAGCTACGAAAGAGAGAAAAGACTTACAGGGTAACAGAGGCAAAGACAGAGAATGAGACCCAGGGATGATAAAAGTGGAGTTCCAGAAAGATCCATTAACTTGTACTAATGGTCTCTAGGGCCACCTTGGGTCCAGAATCAACATCCGGCTTCAATTTCTATGAGATGTCACTCGATGTTGCTGTTTTTTTGGTTTTCATGAATACTGTCTCCAATATCGTGATACTCATTATCTTTCAATAAGCCATCCCACCCCAGCACAAGCGAGCTAAAGTCTTGGTTCTGTGCAGTCAAGAAAGCGTATCTAAAACAATGAGTGCGAGATGCCCAAGGTCAGGGGTCAACAAAGCAGAGGTTAGACCATTCAACCCCCAGGGTCCTATAGCCATTCTACGACAACACCATGCCAGGGAGACAAGTGAATTGGAATGGGTGTTATGTGATATAAAGTAAACCTTAATAAAATGGTTAAAAAGGGGATGGCAGAACTGGAGACCAAATTCAGAGGCAACAACTAAAACTGACATCTAGAGGAATCGTCAAATAAAAACAGACTAACGAGTGTGGAGAGGAAGGCACAAATCTCTTGAAGTCTATAAAAAATAAGGGGAGATGGTAAATAAACTGACCCATGCCACACGAGGACATACCCTTTAAAATGAGAGGTAGTTTTAAAAAGATAAGGCATTACTTTAAATATTAAACATTAGGAATTCACTGAGAATACCTAAGAGCTTCAAAACTGGTTTAGTACAAAAATATTTTGCAGACTGACGTCAAAGAGAATAGAGCTGTGCCTCAGGCAGAAGGCCCCCTGGTGCCAGGGCCAGACACAGGGCACTGGGAAAGATGAGCCACAGATCAGTCACGTAGGGAAATGAAATACATCTTTATTATTTTCTTCTAATTATAAAAAGGCACATTTTGTGTAAAGTTTCCAAAGAGTACAAAAATAAATATTTTAGAAAATGTAAGTTTCACATAACTCAGCCCCTGGAGATAACTGGTGTTAAGGTTTTAGTGTGCATCCTTCCAGACATCTGTCTACACACGTAATATTTTATTACCAAAACACACTCTTACCGTACAAGTATTTATTCTGCGACTTGCTTTTTGCCTCAACATATTTTTCCTATATTATCACATAGAGATCCAACAGGTGTTCGTATGCTTATCATGGTAAGGAAGTATCAGTGTACTTGACCATTTTCCAAAGACAGACATAAAGGTTGTTGGCATTTTTTTAACTAATACAAACTTTTTGGTGAACATCACTGAATATATATCTCACATACTTGTAATACTATTTCTGTCACGTAAATTCCTGTAAGTATTACCATGAAAATGACATCCTGATTTGGGGAAAGCAAGCTGTAATGATCATGGCAACTCAATTAAGAAAGATGCTAAATCCAACACTGGGGCCATAGGACAGAATAAGGATCCAGCCAGGAATTGGAACACTAAGGCTGAGCCAGCAAAGTCCTGAGACTCTTGACCATCCTTGTGAAGAAATCCATACAATCGCCTGGGTGGATGGGAGGCAGGTGTGAACTGCCCGTTCTTCTGCCCTCAAGCCAGTCAGAGGTCCCCATCTGCATCCAAGTCTGGACAGCCTGTCTCTGACAACAGATCATCTGGAGGCCAGAATGAAATGTGTGGAATATAAAGCAAAGAAACTGAGGCATACAATTAATTCAGAAAGAGAAAGAAGGACACTGAAGATACAAAACTATTTTTCTTTAAAACACAGATTTACCTTTTGCATAATGTAGTGAAATGGCACTGGATTTCATAGTGATCCCTCGAACCTGTTCATCTTCTCTGCTGTCCATGTACCTTAACTGTAAAAATGCAACAAAAGCATCCTTACTTCCCAATGAATGAAAATGTCAACATTAAAATGGACTGAGTTGGACTTTTGCTTTAAACACATAATTTTTAAACTAAAAGCCCTCTGTATTTGTTACAAGTGGGGAAGGTCTGGAGAACTTTCTGAACGTATTCCAATACCGCACACCCTCCCAGAGTGCTGCTCATTCACATGTGGGCCGTGAATGACTGGGTACTCTGTGAACAAGTCACAGAAAGTAGCGTGCGGAGGAATCCCTTCTGCACATCCAGAACAGAGCCTGTCTTTCCCTACTCCTAGGCTGTTTGACAAAGTCCCAGCAAAGATTGAAACAGGTGTCTAGAATCATGAGGAGCCTTCACTCCTTTCCCCAAATCAGCAGATTTTAAACACGTTTTTTAAAAAAAGAGTATGGTGGAAAATATTTCTAACGTGACCAGTTAGCTGACGGCTTTCATCAGTGTTAATGCCACAAACAAGGGCCCACACCTCAATCTCTGGGCTCCGCAGCACATCAACACTGACTGAGCCACCACTCCTCTGCACCCCCCCGGCCCTGCGCGCCTCACTAACTTCCTTCCCTCCTCTCCAGGACCGCCGTTGCTTGCCCTGCCGTACTTCTCTCCACTTTGTCTCCTTTGAAAAATTCTTCGCCTTTACATTGACTCACTTCTTTCACTCAAATGTTTCAGGAATAACTTATTGACATGGGACTGCCACATTGACTCATCCCGCATCAACTTAATCTGCTGACAGCCTTCCATTCCCGCAGCTCTGGCAAAACCAAACTCCTAAAAGCTACAGTGACCTCTGGCCAAACTCAATCATCCTTTCTAACCTTCTGTCTTCCTGATTTCAGTGTGGCATCAGACAGACATAGCTCCTGACCCTTGTGTGCGGGTGTGGACACACGCACTTGTGAGATTCTTCTAGGAGTCTGCAATCTCCTAGCTCCCTTCCTAGCTCTCCTGAGATGGTACTGCTGGTTCCCCTTCACCTCTTTGACCTCTGAGGCCTTCCTCCAAAGTCTTCGTCCCTGGTCATTCTTCTACACGTGTTTTTAAGCACTGAGTTGATACAAAACATATATATAGCAAAAAGAATAATACAGTGAACACCTGTGTGTGTGCCATCCTATTTAAGAAAGAAAAAGATTTATGTTACTTTTGACGTCCTCCTGTGGCCCTGGCTCAGAGGTAACTACTATCCTAAATTTTACCTTGTTCATTCACTTGCTTTCTTTATAAGTTTTAAAAATGAGTGTACCACTAAGCAATATATCATTTAGAGTTGCAGGTTTTAGGCCCTATACCAATGGAATCATACTCTACATACATACATATGCACACACATACATATATGGTACCGTCACTTTGTCTCTGCTCAATATCATATTCCTGAGATTTGTCCATATTGATGGGCAGACATAGTCATCATTCACTCATTTCCATTACTGTAGGATTCCACTACACAAAGCCACCACACCTTATTCATCCATGCTGTTTGTGATGGGACAGGTGGATGGATTCTAGTTTTTTAAACTATCATTGAGCTATCATTAACAGATGAATGTCTGTCTCTTGGTAGACTACCTAGAAGTGGAATTTCTGAGATATTAAATGCGCACATCTTCAATATTACTAGCTATTTCCACATTGTTTTCTGAAGAGACTGAACTGTTCCACACTTTAAAGAGTGAATCAGAGCCTCTCCTGCCAGACCTCAGCAACACCTGAAATGGTCAGGCTATTTTTCAAATCAGATGGATGATAATATTTTTCTAATTTACATCTCTCCAATTATCAGTGGGGTTGAGTAACCTTCTATGAGTTTACCCTGAGTTTTTTTTTTTTTTTAAAGATTTTTTATTTATTTATTTGAGAGAGAAAGAATGAGAGATAGAGAGCATGAGAGGGAGGAGGATCAGAGGGAGAAGCAGACTCCCTGCTAAGCAGGGAGCCCGATGTGGGACGCGATCCTGGGACTCCAGGATCATGACCTGAGCTGAAGGCAGTCGCTTAACCAACTGAGCCACCTAGGTGCCCCTTTACTTTATCTCTATTATTTGAATTCTTATTACATGTGGATTGTGTTTTGGGTATTTGATTAAATATAAACAAAAAGCTACATATTGAAAATAACATGAAAAATTGCAAAAGGAAAATTACTTCTAGAAGTAATAGAAAAAGTATAGAAGTATAGAAAGGCCCTTTAAGCTTCT